CAGTCAACCAGAAATGAACGCAAGAACGAAACTGGCAAATTTGGCGAAAATCGGTCAAAGGTTTGGCGAAAACTCAAAGACGTCCAAACGAGCCCCTTGAAAAGTGGCAAATTTTGACGAATATGGCGAAAATAAGATTGACGAATGTTATGTTGGGTTTATTATAGACCGCCAGGTTTAAGTACACATACGAATGTCAGATTTTTGAGCAATTTACAGACGTGCCTCGACAAAATGTACTGTCTAAGCAGTGTCTAAGCCTGATACCTTTTAGTTGTTTTTCTTGGAGACTTAAATGGTCATTATGACCCCGCAGCGCCTTCGGCCTGTAGTGATTTTGGCTGTTTATTGTATCGTTGGATGGAAAGCAACAATTTGTTTCAAGTGATTAGCGAACCAACTCGCATCACACCTACAGGCACTACTCGACTTGACCTTGTAATAACCAACTGTCCAGGTTTTTTTGTCAATTCCGGCACATTAAGGGCCTGTTTACATCGAGGTGGGGGACCCCAGGTAGGTCAATGAGATAACCCTCTTAGGTGGGGTAAAAAAATAATCCTTCTTTACATGCAATCTTACAACCCAGCCACCCAGGGGTGATGGACGCTAAGCACTTAAACAAAAAAATGCTGGCAAACCACGTGTTTTGGCGATTAATGCTCTTCTACACTCACTTGCTGCTCTTGCTGCAACCTTCAGTGCTGTGGCCTTCTCTTATTACCTTTAATAATGATGCAAAGCCACCGCTCAAGTGAATTTTGCGCGAATATGATGTATCACAAATCTGACCCCGGCTAGGCGGGTTACCCCTCCTTGAAACGTTTACATGCCAAAATTCACTCTTAAAAGAAATTCGTTGTCATCTTGGGAAAAGAACCGGTCTCAAAGGAATTTCATAATGGCACTAATAAGGTGCAGCAAAAATCAGTACTATGCAAAGTTGAATAGTAAGTTGCAACATCGAAACACGAGTTCTAAAAAGTGGTGGGGCATTGTTAAATCTATGAACAAAAAATACATACTACAGTACCTACTCTAGTTGAGGGTCCAAACATGATTTGCGATGCAAAGGACAAAGCAGAGTTTCCTGAAAGAGTTCTTCTGTAGCCAGAGCCGTCTAGAGGACAACTCATCTTTTGTTCCTGCTGATTTTGATCATATTCCGGCTTCTCCGATTTTGTCGAATGTTGTCACTTCTGAACGGGAAATTAACGCTTTAAGGGGCAGTTTTAACATAAAGAAAGCATGTGGTCCTAATGGTATAAACAACAAAATGATTAAAGTTTGTGCTGACGGCATAACAAAAGTCTTTACTGACTTAGAAAATCTCTCGCTCCGGTCTGGAGTTTTTCCTGATGATTGGAAACAAGCTAATGTTACTCCAATATTCAAAAAGGAGGACCGTTAAATGAAATCAAATTATCGTCCTGTTTCATTATTAAATGCCTTTTCTAAAATAATTGAAAAGGTCGTGTTTACTGGATTATGCAGTTTCCTGATGGATATTAGTTTTCTTAAGCCTGGTTTCCATATGATCGTCCGGATCGTCCCAGTCTTGTCAAAAAATGTTCAGACGATCGCGAAGATCATATGGAAACGCTACCCAGACGATCGCAAACGACCCGGACGACTGAGACGATCTCGATCGCTTGGATAGAGTTGAGTTCTATCCGGACGATCGGGACGATCACGTAAATTTTGAAGTGATCATATGGAAATGCTCTCAGACGACTGAGACGATCAGGACGATCGAAGGCCATCCCAGAAGTCATCACTTTTTTGCCAGTAATCGAGAATAAATTCGCCCCGGATGGCGCTGAAGCCGAAAAACTAATACACAAATGTTCGCAGCGCGTATGGGGGTTATTTGAAATTAGAGAAAGTCCGTGACATCAAGTTTTTGAAGAGATACTTTGTCTTCGGGGAACTCTTCTAGCTTCTCAATGCCGCAAAATCAAGAGAAAAAGCAGATACCAAGGTAAGGTTCGCTTTACAAATAAAAATCATCCATTTATGTGGCTTGTTTGCAAAACACGCGCAAAAATTCTATTGTCTGACCCAGAGACATCGCTGACGACCCCGCGTCTCTTGCCTTTGAGGCGATCGAGACGATCTTATGGAAACTACCAATCGTCCCAGTCGTCCGGATCGTCTCGAAATATTTTGAAACGACTGGGGCGATCGGGACGATCCGGACGATCATATGGAAACCAAGCTTTAATCCGCTGCAGTCATAGGTTTTGTCCAGGAGATTCAACAGACAATCAGTTGGTTTACATACTACACAAACTTAACGACGCCTTCGAACGCGGCAAAGACTGAAGTTAGAATGGTTTATCTTGATATTAGCAAAGCTTTTGACAGAGTGTCGCATAAGGGTCTTCTGTTCAAATTGAAGTCAATCGGCATCAGAGACCCTCTTCTAGGTTGGCTTACGAGTTACCTCTCTCATCGCAAGCAACGAGTGGTTATTGATGGACAGTCATCGAACTGGAGCAATGTCTCTGATGGTGTACCTAAAGTCTCACAACACACTCATCTACAGGTGTTGTTGCGACAACCTTTAATGGAGGGCCCATATCTTTAAGATTTATGAGAAAGCTTCGTTGAGCCTCAATATTCTGAAAGGTATGAAGTACAAGGCCGGACAGGACTACTTTAAGAAAACTGTACAAATCCTTGGTGGGTCCTCTAATGGAATACGCTGATGTGTTATGCGATGGATGTGCTGAAAGTGAGAGCGATCTCCTCGAGCATGTGCGCGGTTGGGGTATGAATTTGCATGTACGTCCGAGGGTTAAAATTAATTTCTGCTGTTTACATCAAATTCTTAGAAGAGTGTGAGGGAAATATAAGCAAAACTTATTACGATGACTTATACTCTCTAGTTAGATTTTTAATTATAAGTAATAATAATAATGTATAATTATTTAAAAGGCACAAAATAGCATTTAAATATATGATCTAATGCGCCCATAAGATCAAGATGAAGTTTATCTGTCTAGTAATTCCTCGAAATATTATAACCAACCTCTCCTTCTTTGTTTTCCAAAAGGTGTTTTCCACTGATTTCACATCCTTTTAATTCAATTACTGAAGCACAACTTTGCCTTTTCGATTTATTCAATGAAAAGGTTCTTTAAGGTGGCGTTATTAACTTTTTCAGGTCCAAGTTTGAGCATTAACAAAGTCGCCGTTAACAATGGAAAAACGACTACCACAGCTTTATGAGACAAAGATGAAAATTTATTTTGAGCAAAGTTACGTTGACATCGGAGTCGTCATAGCAACGAAATGAGGTGATCATCTGTTTACTTGCAGTCGTATTTCTCAGCACTGGTATTTTTTTTCACAATCGCTTACGGGAGCTTTTGTTCCTCCAATAATTGCCTCAATGTTGGTCAAGTTTACGCAAAATCTATGAAAGCGTTTTCGAAGTGGGGAATAGGAATAAGTATTCTCCTCTCATTTTAGCAGACATCAAGAGCCTATTATAAGCTCCTACATGCATTATGTACTTGTACGTATTAGGGAGTTAACTATAGATTCAATTTTTGTCAATTGGTCAATTGGTAACAGTAAAGGAAGCCGAGATCGAGTCCACTCGATCTGTTACACCAGACGTTTGCGCATGTGCTATGGTAATGTCGACCGCCGTACATGAGTTTGCTGTCACTATGTTTTGACGATTCTGGTGTTGTCTTGTTCACGTTTAACAAACAAATCCCGCAAACTACACTGCCATCCTCAGACGCTGAAACATGATGCAAGGTAGTTTCATTACTGAAGCATGCACAACTAGCTTTGCCTTTTTGACCTATTCAATGAAAAGGTTCTATTAAGGTGGCTCGATTGGATTTTTCAGGGCCAGTATCTCTCACTGGGTCTTCGTTTTAGTCCACTAGTCCTTGCCTTTAGTCCACTCGGTCTTCGTTTTAGTCCATTGGTCTTAGGTCTGAGGTCTCTGTTTTAGGAACAAACCGATCGTTATACAGAAAACTCGGGTAAATCTTGTGTATGAGGCTGTTTGAAGCCTGAGATTAGATAGTTCCTTGTAAAGCCAAAATCAGTGTTCGCCGTCGAACTTCTCGTGGCTGGCTAAGGTACACTCATGATGCTCCTTTGCTTGCTCAAAGTCGCCTAGTTGCCTGTAAATTAAACCTAAGTCAATCTGGGTGGTTGCAACATCAACATGTTTATCGCCGAGCTTCTTTACAAGTATTTCTAAAGCCCTTTGATGAAACTCCTTGGCTTGCTCAAAATGGCCTAGCTGCCTGTGAATTACCCCTAGGTTATTGTAACTAGCTGCAACATCAACATGTTCGTCGCCGAGCTTCTCAAGACGGATGCCTAAGGCAAGCTGATAGTACTCCTTGGCTTGCTTAAAGTCGCCTAGCTGCCTCTGCAATTCACCTAAGTCACTGTAAGTGGTTGCAACATCGACATGTTCATCACCGAGCCTCTTCAGACGTATGCCTAAAGCGCGTTGATGAAACTCCTTGGCTTGCTTAAAATAGCCTAGCCTCCTGTGAATAACCCCTAGATCGTTGTAACTGGTTGCAACGTCAACATGTTCGTCGCCGAGATTCTCAAGACGGATGCGCAAAGAACGTTGATGATACTCCTTGGCTTGCTCAAAGTTACCTAGCTGCCTGTCAGTTATTCCTAACTTATTGTAGGTGGCTGCAACATCAACATGCTCATCACCGAGCTTTTCCAGGCGGATGGCTAAAGCACGTTGATGGTACTCCTTCGCTTGTTCAAAGTCGCCCAGCTGCCTCTGAATTTCACCTAAGTTATTGTAGGTATTCGCAGTATCAACATGTTCCGCGCCAAGCTTCTTAAGGCGGATGGCTAAAGCGAGTTGATGGTATTCCTTAGCTTGCTCAAACTCGCCTTGATGGCTGTGAATTACACCTAAGTTATTGTAGGTGGTTGCAATATCAACATGTTCGGCGCCAAGAGTTTCAAGATCAATGTTTAAAGCACGCTGATGGTACTCCTTAGCTTGCTCAAACTTGCCTAGCTTGCTGTAAATTGAACCTAAGTTATTGTAGGTGGTTGCAACATAAACATGTTTGGCTCCAAGCTTCTTAACATCGATGGCTAAAGCACGTAGATGATATTCCTTGGCTTGCTCAAAGTCACCTAGGTACCTATGAATTGAACCTAAGTTATTGTAGGTGGTTGCAACATCAACGTGTTCGGCTCCTTGTTTCTTGAGGCAGATGGCTAAAGCTCGTTGGTGATATTCCTTGGCTTGCTCAAATTCTCCTAGGTGGCTGTGAATTATACCTAAGTTATTGTAGGTGGTTGCAATATCAACATGTTCGGATCCTTGCTTCTCGAGGCGGATTGCTAAAGCATGTTGATGATGTTCCTTGGCTTGCTTAAATTCTCCTAGGTGACTGTGAATCACACCTAAGTTACTGTAAGTGGTTGCAACATAAACATGTTTATCACCCAGCTTTTCAAGATCAATAGCTAAGGCACGTTGATGATACTCCTTTGCTTGTTCGAAGTTCCCCAGCTGCCTGTGAATTTCACCTAAGTTATTGTAGGTAGTTGCGACATCAACATGTTCGGTGCCAAGCTTTTCAAGATAAATGGCTAAAGCACGTTGATGATACTCCTTGGCTTGCTCGAAGTCACCTAGCTGGCTGTGAATTGAACCTAAATTATCGTAGGTGGTTGCAACATCAACATGTTCGGCGCCAAGATTTTTAAGGCGTATGGCCAAAGCGTGTTGATAACACTCTTTGGCTAACTGAAAGTCACTTAAGTCATAGTGAATGTCACCTAAATCATTGTAGGTCCCTGCAACATTAACGTGTTCGGCGCCTAGCTCTCGCATCTCAACCGCGACCAATCGTTTAAAGCATCTTTTTGCCACGTTGAATTCACAGTGCGCTCTGCAAGTCTGGCCAAAATTTGCAAATGCTTTTAAAATGCTTTCATCATAAACTCGACATAAATTTTCTTCCTTAAACACATTATGAGATAAGACTTTTAAATGCGGCACGATGTGTATTGTGTCGAGTGCCTCTATCTCTGATAATGAGATATCGACTAGAAATTGGTTGAATACTTCAATAGCTCTGTTAATAACCTCTGATTGTTGGCTCTCTTTATAGTCTGTCAGTAATGACTTGACAGCATCGTACACAACCTGATGTACTCGAATGAAAATGCTATTCTCATAATCTTCTAAAAGCAGCAGTGAGCACCTTCTGATTCTCAAAGAAATCTGGTCATTGTCCATTTCGTGTACTCTCTTAATGTAATCGATTGCTATGCTCAGATTTAATGGTTGTGGTGCACATTGAGAGAAGAAATTGAACAAGTGTTTAAGAGTCTCATTTGAGTTAATTTGTGTTTTGACGGCTAAAGTTATTGCTCTAGTCATGGTGTTTGGGTAAACTGGGTTGGTTTCAGCAAGAGTTTTCTCCGTAGTGTTTCGTTTGCCTTCTTCTAATTTCTTTAGGAGTTCTTTCCAGCCAAAATTTCTTTTATTTCCTGCTTGACGAATCTCTTTCACATAGATAGCAGCGCTTGCTAAAGAAAGAGGCTGATAGTCCAGTTTTTCTGCAACTTTTCCCTCCATCTCAACGTCGGTGATCCCAGAAAGTTTGGCCAATAAGAAACTGGCATCTTCGGGCTCCATACCTTTGCTTACTGAGATGTGATTGATGAAAGTGGTTGTCAAGGGGATAGATGCTGCATCTTGTGTTGTGATTAGCAACTGACCCTTTACCCAAGCGTCGTTTCCAGACTTTGGCAGAGAATCAGTGATAGAAGAGACGCAAGTAACGTTGTCAACCACTAGTAGCCACGACGTGTAGAGGTTGATTTTCGCGCTAATGAGCATCTTGAGGTTAGCGATCTTTTCCTCAATCGTCCACTCTCTAGAGCTGACGATTCGTACAACCGAATAATCCGGGCACTTAAGCTGGCGAGCAAAGGAGGTATATGACTCTAGAAGTGAATCTGGACTGGCGGCATTCACGGTCATTACAAATGAAGAAGCGTCTGGCACTTCTTTGCTTTCTTCGAAGAACTTCCTGGCAACAAGGCCGGCAAGCTGCGATTTTCCACTTCCAGGATTCCCTGAGAGGTACAGAATACTCAGTCTATTATCATTAGCCTCCTTTAGTTCCCTCAACTGTTGCGTTAGCTTACCAACCTCACGCTCACGAACCCCAATGTCGTGAGAAGGTTTAGGCGGGAGAATACAGAAAGAAGGTGCATCGTTCATGAGCTGATGTTCAAGAACACTTCTTTGATCCTCTTTTTCTTGAAGCTGATCTTCCTTTTCTTGAAGTTCCTGTTTCAGTTCTTCAACTTCTTTCAGGATTTTTCGTAAGTCTTCCGTCGGGAACGTTTTCTGAATTTTTATATCTTGAATTTGCACCGTAGGAAGACCAAGCGCTTGAAACGCAGCATGAACTTTGCTAATGGCAGTGTGAAAATCCTTATCAGAGAGATTTCCTTGTCGTATGTGAGCAAATTCCTCGTTTCTAAATATTCTAAGATCATCTAAAGTATTCCGGACCGTTGCATTAAGGCTAGGCCCGACACAGTCTGAGAAAAGAAGGGCGTAAAATAGCATTGTACAATCCCATTCCCCTCTATCTCCGTTTTTCATGGTAGTCAAGAGGTGAGCATTTCTCTTCCTGTTTCTTGGAGACTCCGCGTTATAAAAGTCCACTCCATTTTGCAGGTCATCTTTCCATTCTCCGAATGGAGTTGATTTGTACTGTTTGTCCCATTCTTGTTTAAAAATTACCCTCAGGCCCTCCGTTAGTATGCTAGTTGTTACATAACAAATTCTGAAATAGTTTAGCTCTTCGTTGTTATATTCTTTTGAATGGGCCATACTCGAGGCTTGGAAGTCAACCTTTCGGAAAGATAAATCTCCTATTAGAATTTACAATGATCACAGACAAAAGTCGTTGGCAAGGTTGTACAACTTAACAGTAGTCCAATCTAATCCTAAAAAAGGAGAGCTTTCTCTTTTGCTAAATATCCCCCGTTCCCACTATTCAATGGTGGGATATAACAGAATAAGTACGCGCACAAACATTAAAGTTTTGCTCAACATTGGGCCAGGGGCGGGGGGAGGAAGGAAAAAAAGAGAACAATAGTAGCAGCCTTCCCAACACTTTTGACGGTAGCTTAAAGGGTCGAGCCTATGACCTTCTGGTTACTACTCCAGAATCTGATGTTCTACCACTTAGCTACAGGAGATTCGCTGGAGCTATATAAGGCCACCGCACTAGGTTCATGTGATAAACATCCTGCACACTGCCATGATTGGAATGTCGACTTGTGCTATACATGTGCAATGATCAGAGGCACCCGGCAATAGTTATTTCCTAAATACATAAAAACACTTTTTTGGTTATCCACAGTACATTTAGATCTCGAGAAATGCATTCTGAGTGGCGCTTTAAAACTAGTATCTGTTCGGTCATCCTCACAGGGGAACTTGAGTCTTTTCGAAATTACAAGGAGCATTATTTTCCGGAAAATTTTAGATGCAATTTAACGTATCACGAAAGTGAGAATTTTCTTGATTCCCCTCTCTCCATCACATTTTTTAATCCGAAATTTTAGGTTCCCTTTTTTGTACGAAAAAGACCCTAACCTTGGCAGTGAAACATGAAAAATTAAACTTCAGAATTAAAATCGTAGGGAATTTATTACACGAATGGAACGGTCCTCTACAAATTTTTACCCGTCCTCAAGAAATAGAAAATTGTAGGCAATATTTGCTTCTCCGAACAGATATTTTACAGAAAACAATCGATGGGTGCCCCTGAATGACAGAAATGTGATGGTAAATTTTGAGCATGGTAAATACCTGAGGAAGCTGTTTTTTCAATCAGTGACACAGGCTGCTTAAAAGAAAAGATCCGAGTACTCCCAATAAGCGTCGAAACTATGAGCCTCTGGTTATTACTAGTGTGCCACTAAGCAAATTTGGACATTCTAGTCCTAACAGTATGCAGGATGTTTGTCATACGAACCTAGTTTTAATGGAACAGTTTTTAGTGGTTGCAAACGTGGCAGAGTTGACTCCTATTCTTTTCAGTTATTTTTTTTGCTTTGGCTATTCCTCAGTTATTTGATTAAACAACGCAGGATATTCTCGTGAGTCCATTTTCTAGGATTTTCGTTCCCCGTGTTTGGAGTGTATATTCCGCTATTCTGCCTTTCAAGTCCACTGGTAATTCCACAACTCTTGAAAGTAGGGCCAGCCGTCACCAATGGACCCCAAACCATTTGTGGAATTGAAAACATTACGTAGTGTTCAGTTTTCAAAAGACTTCAGCGTGCACATTTTTAGCCTGTTCCCGCCTTCATGAAACTTATAGCGCAGTCGTCCAGTAAAAGGTGAAGAGAAAAACTGGAGGGGGCTGATTTTTTCCACTGCAGCCCGCTTTCTCAAATCGCCCGCCTCTTACTTTTGCTTGTCTTTTATAATATTGGCAACGTTCCTATTATCTGAGAGCCTAGTGCAATCTATCTTTTTTATGCTGCCTAATAAAGTATTTCACTTTGTGACGCTTGTCGAATTACTGTCAAATCGCTTGTCCTCCTCTTGTTCCCGGATCCTTTTTTCATCGATTTTTATTTTATGGCTCGCTTCGCACTAGGGCCATAAATCTATAGCCACAGCGTTAATAATCGATAAATAAAAACCTGGGTCCATAATTTACAGTACAGGGCTCAGTTGTTGGAAGGCTTATTAGCACTAACCCAGGGTTAGATTTTAACCTCGGTTTACTTTTCTTTTGTTCAAAGCATTTTTCTTTTTAGAGCATCTAATCATCAAATGGTAGACAAAAAGAAAAAACTGATTTAGCTTTTATAAGCTTTCATATCTGAATTGAAATTTCTCACTAAACCTGGGTTATCTTAACCCTGCTTTGAACAGCCCGGCCCAGGAGGTCAAATGATAATATTTTATGGCTCGCTTTGCACTTGGACCATAAATCTCAGTATAGATGGATTTCACAGTGACGTCATCAAATTGTGACGTCAAAATAGCGAGGGTTTTACGAATTCTTATTTATTTTAGGTTAAAGATAAACAAAAAGAAAATCTTTCTACAAGTTTCCATTCCCGTAGCATGTTTCATTTCGAAAATACAGCAATTTTCACAGTGTGTGACACCAAAATAGGAATGCTGTCTGGTTGGAAAAAAAGGCTCTCCTCTTGATTTTCAGCAGCATAATTATTTCAAGTATTAGAAGATATGTTTATGCGCACGTATGCTAGTTCTCGAGTGAAAAGAAAGAGCTTTTATTGAAAAATTGAACTCCAGATGTTTTTGTTGATTTCCGGCGGCCATATTCACTGTGCACCAAAACGGTACACCGATATGGCGTCTCCATACAAAGCTCTACAAAGGTGCGTGAAACTTTTCGGCAAATAACTCGGAAACTGTGGGCCACAAAGACCTGAGACTTAGACAAATTGTTTATATATTAGTCTTTTATAACATTTCACTTTCTTGCCTTCTTCCACTGGACTGTTTCCAATTTATTTTTTTGGTTGCGTGACAGTGAAAATATAGCCACAAGGCATGGTCTTCTCGGTCCGTACTGTAGATTATGGAGGCTAACAAAGTACGAACGTGTCTCTAATAAACCAAGCTATTCAATTCCAAAAATGCCATCTCTTTAACATTGTAAAATAGAAAGTAAAACAGGGAAAAGACTGAAACGTCAACAACGCATTGCGTTTTGTCGTATACGGAAAAAGCGAAAGTGATTTATATGCACATGAAAGCAGCACACTACTAAATCACGAACGCGACTGTTATCCAGGGGGATGGCAGTGAATTATATTCTATATCTGTGAGTCCATATGAACACTTTTGTCCTAAGAAATTTGCACAAATGACTTTTGGTTAAGATAACACTGAGTGAAACGAAGGAAACGTGCTGAAACCTCCAAGATAAACCCCAGAATTGTCCGTATTACGTCGTTATAACCGACTGCTTCCGTGTTGTGAAATTGTCGCTAACAGAGGGTATGGTTTTCGGTGAAGCCTACAGTGGAATATTTCCCTACTTTGTTTATGATAACCATATCCTTATTACTAGATAGAGAGAGCGATTTGACTTTGGCACGTTGCTGCGCAAAACAAGCTTTATAAAATTACAGCACTCATAAACATGCTTGGAGTACCTCTCCTCCCGGATCCAAAACAGATAAAAAAATGTATCTAGTTGCACTGAGATAAAAGCTAACCGACTACAATATCAATTGTTTGTACTTACGATTGAAACTTCAACGCAAGGATCCAAGTAAGGTCCAAAGTGAAAGCGATGTGATCTCGCTGGTGATCTCGTGACGCGTGTTTGTCAGCTGGTTTACATTGTATTTTATCATCCCGATTATCATGTTACAATAGCTGTGGTCACACTACAGACTTTTACCGAGGTAAAACCGATTTACCTGAGGCAAATTCATCAAAAATTCATCTCGGGTTTTGTTTTACCACAGGTAGCCCAAGCTCGAAATATGAGCATCGGCGAGCATCGGCATTGTTGCGTAACGTTCAAAATATAAGGATTTGTATGGAAAAAAACCCTATCGTTTCTGTAACCTACGAAAATGAAAGGATTTCGATAGAAAACAGCTTACCTTACTTAAAATGTGTGTTACGTCTCTCCTGTGTGGTCCACGCGCCGATTTATGGCTGTTTTATGGGTTTTTATGTAAACGGTTTTCTCTCTATATAAACCCATACAAACCTTATGTTTTGAATGTTACGCAACAATGCCGATGCTCGCCGATGCTCATATTTCGAGCTTGGGCTACCTGTGGTTTTACTTAGGTAAAAATTCTGGGAAGGTCACACTACTGATATCGGCTCCCAAAGTTTTCACGCCAGTTAAATTTTTTGGAGCGTAAATTCAAGAAGGCAAAATGCCCAGGGGATCTAGCTGATCAAAGAGACGTTTTTTTCTTTTATCTCGCTGTTATTTCTGACGCTAATTCAAAGTGCAAGGTGAAGAAAGGCGAAGACGTAGACGACTCGTGCCCCCAAAACTTCTTTCACAGCGTGATCTATGCCCGGTTCTGTCATCAAGACCTTCGCCGATGAGCGTCTATTGGCTGGCAACCTCCGTATTTCATTTTCCCCTAGCTATTGCTTTGGGGCAGCTGTCAAGGTAAACTCTATTGTTTTCGAGACATATCCAAGACCCAGACGATAAAATTTCCCCGAGGTGAGTTACCTACAAGTGTAGGGAAAAATCGGTCACACTTAAAAAGTCAAGTTTCCCTAGGTAAACTGTCAACAAGTCTTGTTTACCTAGGTGAAAAGCCTGTAGTGTGACCACAGCTAATGTTTCTGGATATCCTGAAAACTGACTCAGTGCGTCACGTGAGTGGTACATTCGCTGGCTTCGGCAATCTCAAGTTATTGAGCGGCTCTAGCGGGATAGCAGTCAGTTGTAATGTTCAGTTCTCGCAGTATGTCCGCATTCGGAGTTTTCAGTTTTTTCGTTTCATATGCCTATTTTGTCCTACGCTGTTTAGTCTTCGTGCTTCCTAGTTTTATTCGACATGCAGAGTCAGTGCATGAATTTGCTTTACTAGCATGCTGCTATTTCCGTTGGGTTTTTTGAGGTACGTATTATTATAAGTTGCTGCATTTTCATGTCTGAACTATTGTTTGGCTTCCGCTTTCACTGTTTTTTTTTTTAGCAGTACCCATAGGTTTTTGTTCTAAGGAGGGAATGTGTTTTGTGGCTCCAGAGTAGAACTTTTTTTACGCAAATTTTTTTTTTCGTCTCCTGACTCTGCTGAGCGCGTTTATTACCAGGGTCTCGCTAAATTTTTATTACCCACTGGTCT